GCTCGTTAGCAACAAACGGCCGCCTGAAATCTGTCCAGCGAAGCTGCTTTCAGTCGGAGAAAATGAAGACAATTAGCGTCAACACAACAGCTTCTGGCTGCTTCCTAACAGCTCTCATCGCCGCCTTTTCAGCGTGAGCCACACGACACGCTCAGTCCATTTGTAAGAGCTCCAGCTCATTAAAAAGCACTTTAACACACTGTGACGGCTCTTTTTCCTGCTCTCACACACTCTGAGATGCAAACGCTCTCGCCAAAGCATTTGGCAAACACATGATCACACACGCTTCACACTTTAGGCGACACACACGCTTTTGTTTTTGTGCGCTGGAGCCGTCAGCGCGCTGCTGTAATCACACGCTCGGTGTCGTCGGCGCACACACTGTAATTAGGATGTCGTCTCTTCTGGAGGGCGTGTGGCGAGGCTACTGCTTTCTACCACAGAGATAAAGGCGGTGCTCGTTCACGCCGTCCTGAGCTGCAACACGACACGCACAACAAAGTCTGCAGCTAAACTACAGGTCACACGTCTCAGAGCGTCCTCGTAAACCTTGAGGCTCGCTGGCGGGGAGGTGCACCCCCCCCACCACGCACGCGCGCCACACACACCACACACACACCACACACACAACACACACACACACACACACAGTAACAGCAGCTCCCAATAGGGCTTTGGAGTTGACGTCACGCCGCAATGCATTGTGGGAGCGCAGCTCCATTTTCGGGGTCTACGAATCAAAACAAACACACTGTGTTGGAACGACGACGACAAGAAACATGCTTAAAAGCAGCTCAAAAGAAAACGGACGGTATAGAGACCGATTGCGTCCAGAGGCGAAGCAGCGGTACTTGAAAAAAAATAGAGTGCATCGCAAATCTGGACCCATATGAAATACGGCAGTGGAGTAAAGACCCAGACGACTTACCGCCACTGTCCTACCCCGATATCTTCACGTATCTTGTTTGTGGAGTAAGCGCTTACACAGCGAACCAGTTTCGTAATTACAAGTCACTGGAGGCGCACATCCAATTTACAAATGGCTGGGTGTAAGATTTGGCTATTTTCAAGCCGCCAAACTCTGAGTACGTCGTCAAAGTAAGTCAGCTGGAGTGCACCGAGTGAAATAGCCATTTTCCACCCCCCACCATAATTAATGTTACACATTTATCATTGAACTGCTAAAATATTGTTATCATATTATATGCCCATAATTGTAAAGTACACGCAAGTTAACACATTGATAATCGGGTAAATTATTAACGCCAATTTGTGTCCTTCCTGTCTCATTTCATTTATTGTCTTTACATCAACCAATCAAGTCACTCCATTCTATGTTTGATCGCAATTTCTATAACTTCTGAGACCACCAGCGATGATATTATTCAGCTATAAAGTGTGATGTGAACATATTTAGAACTTACAGGAATGAAAATGTCTTGAGCACACCAGCTGATATCTGGAGACGTAACAGAACTTGATATCAGCTCGTCTCACGGCTGCTATCCAGCTAGACGCCTTCGTTTGATAATATCCGATACATGAGCTCCTTCATGTTGCTTCCAGGTTGGGAAAGCATAAAAAGACAATCCAAACTTATTCCCGTGCCGGTCGTAAGATCGAACATTGCAGCCGACCGCACAGCAAGTACGAACCATGGCTATGCTTTCGCTCCTTACTTAGACCCCCAAAATGGCGGATCGGGCCAAAATCCTTTCCACGCCCACCCCCGTGACATCACGCTCCAAAGCCCTATAACAACAACCTCCCACGCTCCTGTGAGCTACAGCAGCGATGCAGGCTGAAAGTGTGTGTGTGATCACTAACAGCGTTGCTATGGTGATATGAATGTGACCCCTGAGCAGACAGCTCGAGGCCCCGCCCCTGCTAACAGATGTCACATGATCAGCTGCAACAGGTTAAGGTGAGCGCCGCGAGCTCTGCGGATCTCACAGAGACAGACTGCTGAAGAAACTCACAGCACCAGGTAGAGTACTCAGAGTACTGAGAGAAGTGCGAGTACTGTGAGTACTGAGTACCTGAGTAAATGGACTGGTTCTTATATAGCGCTTTTCTACTCTTCTGAGCATCAAATTGCTTTACACAACTTGTGCATTCACCCACATTCATACTCCGGTGGATGCATCGGAGAGCAATTTGGGGTTACTGTGAGTACTGAGAGTACTGTGAGTACTGAGTACCCGAATACCGTGAGTACTGTTCGTCCATTCCGTCCTAAGAAGCTGACATGCTACAGGCGCAGGTTGATGGGGGGCATATTGCGAGGTTTCAGATACAGGGAGGAGCCAGGAGCCAGGTGTTAGAGCTGCAGGTGAGCCTCCATCTTTTATATACAGTCTTTGTTGGGAGCCACTGATGCAGTTGGAGGATCAGAGAAGTGATTCTGAGATATCTCTGACAAACCTTCAAACAAATGTCACCATAAGACACTGAACAGGTCAGAGCTGCGAGCGTCCTTTAAATGTCAGCGCTCACTTTCATGTCATTAAAAAGATGGAAGAACGCCGGACGCCATCTCCTCCCCGCGGCAGCACAAACCCCCTCAGACCGCTTGGGTCCGCGGCCGATCGCGGCGCTCGCTTCTCGGTGAGGACGAGTTCACGCGTGTCCCGTCAGCAGGACAAACTGACATCGCAAACCAGCAGCTGAGAAGTTTGATGATCGTTCTCGTGGTTTTCCATCATCATCCGTGACGCCTGTCGGTCTGACAGGCGTGTGAGCTCCGACCGGAGCCCGGTCTGTCGGACCCACGCTAACAGCACAAACTTCATTTCCTGGATCGGCCGTCCTACGATCAGGAACGCGCACAAACCGCAGTCACGTCACCCAGGAAGCACCGGCGTCTGCACGACTCACAGCGCCGGTGTTCTGACAAATCGTCCTACAGTAAGTAGTTTATGCACATTTCTGCTGTCACAGAGCAATTCCAGCACAATTTAAGTAGGTATGACGGTTTGCCACTTAACGTTGCCCATCAGAGTATGCTTGTAGCTCACATTCACAAAGGTAGGATGGTTTGGCACTTCATTTCGTGTTGTGCGCATGCGCAGAAACAACGGGTAGGATGGTTTGTCAGGTAGGATGGATTCCCAGAACACCGGCGCTCCTCTAATGAAAAGAGTGCACTGCTGCATGAGGCCAATCTCAGTGCAGCGAGTCCACGGGGCTGCGTCGCACGGCATTAAAGAACCAATTTGCAGAGAAAACGTCGTTATGGGAACCGTTCCCTGCAAAACGATGTCATTACAGTAACGACAGCCACTCTAGCGTGGCGCTGTGGATGAACGTGTGCTCAAACATCACTCATTCATTGTTGTCTGAGTCCTTCACACCCGGCTGCCCGACACCAGGAAGTTAATGGTTCAGACACCATTATGAAGGAGGTGCCTGCTATCAGGCCACCAGGGCAGCAGCAGCAGCTCTCTTACAATCAGAGCTCCACACTGAGTGTGAAAAACGGGTGCGGCGCCGAGCACGGACAGAGTCACCCTGCATCTTTATCGAGCTGCGGTGCGATCCCCGCAGGCATCAATAAACCCTGAAACTAAAAGGAGAGTTAATGACGATACGATTAGCTCGAGTCAGGAGACGAATCCCTGCGAGCACGCCGGAGCGTCCCCGCTGCTTCGCATCTGCTACGTCTACAATCATTTCAGTCAGTCGGGGCTAATCGCCTGCACACGGGTATTGATTACGGGGAAGTCTTTGTTCTCTAACCCGGCGTGTACATGACTGCAGGCTGCGGCTTTATGCTCGCTTCCTGCTGCCGTTTCACCAATTTACGAGGCAAATGAGGGGCGGAGCTGAAGTGCACAAACACCTGAGCGCAGCCGGCGTGCACACAGCATCACGCTCGCACTGCTGCGTGCACAAACATCACACACATGGATGCAGCTCAGAAAAACCGACGTTTCACATGCTGCTCGTCACACTCGAGGTCCTGATGTCAAACACAGCTTCACTCGACAAACAGGACACGCCGAGGCTGACGTGTGAACAAGGAAAAGTTCCCACTGGAGACTCACACATGGCTCATACATGTTAATATCAGCTCCATGCACATACACACACGCAGGTGATAACTCAGTCACATATCACAGCCATCAAACAGTGACATCATGAGCACAGCTGGGGTGGAGGTGGGCTCCAAAGTGGCTTGCAGTCGCTTACAGGGCGTGGCCTACAGGAGCTCAGCCGGCCTGTCAGACCTGATTACGTCTGTGATGTTTTACTATGCGCTCCTTCATCTCCTCACTTCCTCCTGATTCCCCTTCGCAGCACGGTGACCCGCTCCGTTCACCTTTCTCCATTTCATCACTGCTATTGTGGCTGCTGACGTGCCGCCGCCTCTCGAGAACACTCGACGCACTCCTGAAAGACGAAGTCGGCTGGTGTCAAGTAGAGCGCCTATCAGCGACGTTCACGCCTGTCCCCTCTCCGGCTTTAATCACAGTAATGCAGCTCCGGGAGCCTTAATGGATTCACTGCGTGGGTCTGCCGGCGCTCTGAATGACAATACGCCAGCCGGCTTCCCAGCAGGGCTCCTGACAGGCAGGTAGCAGCCGAGCTGCAGCCTGAATACAGAGCAGGCAGCTGCGTTTGATCTGTGGGGCTGGGAACTAGCGAGGGTAATGATGTCAAACCGCGCGACGAGCTACTGTACGTCAACGGTCAAGCCGGAGCTCGTTAGCAGATGACGACGTTCCTCAGAGTCACGTCCTCCAGGTTCCATGCTCGCTGACAGACGTTTTAACTCAAATTCCCATCTGAATAATCTTAAAGTCATCCAGTGCTTGGACCTTCATTAGCGTCAGAAGCAGAAGGTAACAGGACGTATTTGCTCATATTGTGGCCTGTCCTTACACACACCTTTAATCCGCTTGCATATGTAGGTAACAAAAGGTCATGTTTATACGGTCACTGTGAGGACCCACAGCCCTCTGATCAACACTAACAACAGAAGAAGAAAGGTTTCTTACCGTAGGCGGAGTCGGCGGTGGACTCCTGGTTCCGTGTCGTAGCCAACACGTCAGCTGCACAGATTCAAAATAAAACAGATTCATCTCATTTATTCTCCACTTCACTTCCTGTACCTCTCTGTGTTTGTGCATAGACCTGAGTGTCACACTTCCTGTTCGTCGCTTTGACATATGGTCACACATGGACCTTACTTGGGCAGGTTGCCATGGTAACTCTGTTCAGTTCACTGCAAAAAAAAAGCCATGCCACTCGTAGCAGATTTCTACTTACAGTGCTGCTGCTCTTATTTTGAAAGTTCAACTCAGACCCCTCTCATCAGACCTGCTGACAGGAGCTGAGCTGATCTGATGGATTAGAGATACTGTGTGTGTGTGTGTGTGTGTGTGTGTGTGTGTGTGTGTGTGTGTGTGGGTTTATATTATAGATTAAAAAAACAGGATGGATGAATGGATGGATGAATAAATGGATGGATGGATGGCTGGATGAATAGATGGATGAATGAATAGACGGATGACTGAATAGATGGATGAATAGATGGATGAGTGGATGGATGAATGGATGAATAGATGGATGGATGAATAGATCGATGGATGAATGGATGGATGGATGAATGGATGGATGGATGAATAGAAGGATGAATGGATGAATAGATGGATGGATGAATAGATCGATGGATGAATGGATGAATGGATGAATAGATGGATGGATAAATAGATGGATAAATGGATGGATGGATGAATGGATGGATGAATAGATGGATGGATGAGTAGATGGATGAATGGATGAATAGATGGATGGATGACTGGATGGATGAATGGATGAATAGATCGATGGATGAATGGATGGATGAATGGATGAATAGATCGATGGATGAATGGATGAGTAGATGGATGGATGAATGGATGAGTAGATGGATGGATGAATGGATGTATGGATGAATGGATGGATGGATGAATGGATGGATGGATGAGTAGATGGATGGATGGATGAATAGATGGATGAATGAATGGATGGATGAATAGATGGATGAGTAGATGGATGGATGGATGAATAGATGGATGAATGGATGGATGGATGAATAGATGGATGGATGAATAGATGGATGGATGGATGGATGAATAGATGGATGGATGAATAGATGAATGGATGAATAGATGAATGGATGGATGAATAGATGGATGAATAGATAGATGGATGTTTGCAGGGATCATTGCAGCGTCTGAGTTGGGTACCCTCTATAGAACCAGTCTGGTGTAACCGTGCAGGTAAGCAGGACCCTTGGTCCACACAAACACGCATACAGCTGTTATCGTGCGCACTGTGGGTGTAACCTGCAGGTTTATCTCACCGCGGCAGCTGTCCGGATGAAACGAGTGGTCGCCCTCGATATCCTGCTCAAACCCCGCCCTGCAGACACGGAACAAGGAGAGGGAGGAGAGGAGACGACAATCAGGACGGTGAAACATCGAACAAAACCAGACGCTGCACTGCTGGTTACTGTTGCCGGGGAGCTTAATCGGTGACAGGTGATGGCTTGGGACAACATTTAATCAGATTTTGTCACATGGTTCATCTGCAGCGCACGGCTCCGTGCGAAGGCCACAGGAGCTCGTCCAATTAAAGGCAGGAAGGTCGTCCAGCCCGAAGACAGACGGGGACAAGAAGTGACCATGAAACACACACACACACGCACACAGGCGCACACACACACACACACAGTATCAGTAAAGCTCCTGTAAATGAAGTCAATTACTTTCCGTTCGGCGTCTCCTGCTCGCTGTTTTGTCCCTGCTGTTTACCGTCTCTGACTCCATCACCACCAGCGCCTCCACCTGACCTTCAAATCCATTTTTAAAGAGGCAACAAATCAGGATTTCACAGCCACACGGGACAAAAAAGTGGAGCGAGTACCGCCGCCACACAAACACCAGTGGGCTGTTAGAAAGATAAAACACGTTAACACAGGAGCGAGTTTCCCAACATTCCCAGTCCAATCACCGCGGCGTGCATTCCTCCCAGCTGTCCGCATCACCGACACGTCTGATGAATCCCAGGAGAGCGTCTCCGTCACCTGTGCAGTTTCAGAGCCTCCGCCCAGGCCATCAGCAGCTTTTACTGACTTCTTCTCAGTTGGGGATCAAAAGTAATAACCTGAAACTACGACATGTGTCACGCCTTCACGTACGCACACGTCCATGATGTCACCGCCTTTACACCATCCGTGTGTGTCCTACGCTCCTCTGACTGTGAGACTGGATCGGCCTCCGCACGAGGACTAAGGTCGTCCACAGCAATCGCTCGGGAGGGTCACGATGGTGGCAGCAGGAATGATCACCATGGAGACGATGCTGAGAGGAAAGCTGGGACGCGTATCCAAGCCGGAACGTACGACCCGCTTTCAGCAGCTGTCCTGCCTGCCGCTGTGACTCACTACCAGCCGTGTGAGCGTCCTCTCAGCTGATCTGTGCCGCTCAAACACGCACAGCTAAATAACCAACGGACGCCCGGCTTCCACATCTGTGCACGTGGAGGTGACCCTGAGCTTCAAAGGCCTCAGGTGAAGGTGTGAACAAGAACAGGTTTAATCTCGACGTTAACCGCAGTCGGACAGACGGGCCATCTTCAAACGCTCACCAGGAAATCTGAAATCTGTCAGCAGTTATTACCGAGCCGCTCTCCCAGCGTCCGGCGATCAAAGCTTTTCTTCCAAAAAACAAGAAAAGCGAGCCAGCATCGACAGGAAGACGGAGTTTCCAGGTGTTGGAATCTTTGCCCACAAAGCTGCTGGGTTTGCCACGCCGCTGCGATCTGTGACAGAAGCATTCATCAGCCCGATCGCACCGAGCCCACACCCGAGTTTCATCTTGCACGCGTGTTTCCAGCTCTCTTTACCACGCTCTGCCCGTACGGCCAACACGCCTGCTGGTTGGCAGCTGTCCGGCAGCTGCTCGCTGTCTTACTCTCTTCCTCCGCTTTGTGTCTGATGGATTCATCACTTACTGACAAACACACAAAAAGAGGCATTTGGATGAATGTTCACTGTTTACAACAACATGTGACCAAACATGCAACGCTGTCACAACAGCCACAGAGGGAACACAGCCAGTTTCCTGAGGCGCTGAGACACGCGTGCGCACGTTTTCCATGCTTCCCAAACCTTAAATGAACCGAACGCGTCACCACAAACCATGTGACAACGTTATTATTGCCCAGGTGTGTCAGAGAGAGGAACAAAGGGGAGCACATGAAGAAGACTGCACTCCATATCCCAGAAAGCTACAGGAAAGAGCTCAGCTGAGACGGAGACCGCCTCCTCCACCCGGTGTCAGTGTGTTCACGGGAGATCGACCAGCAGGTGATGGATGCGGCCTGACACCACCTGAGGGCTCCGAGTTCTCCTCACACGTCACCTGCACACACCTGCAGGCCTCTAAAACACGTCGCTGTAAAACGTGCTGTCCACGCTGTGACCTCTGACACCTGTGTTCCTCTTCTTACTACATCTGAGAGGGAAGGACGGCGCTGGCGCCTCAGGCGCGAAGATACCGTCGAACGGTTCAGCCGAGCTGGGGTGCGATGGACCTCGATGGAACACCTCTGAACACTGAAGCTCAGCCACACAGACCCACAGCGCCGCCCGAGCAGGAGTCCCCTGTAAGCCGTCACACGTGGGAGTGTGTCTGCAGAGCTTCCTGTGTACACAGCGAGCACACTCTCCCTCCCCGCTCAGACCGTCTGCACGCCAGAGAGATAAAACCACACCACCCAAAAAAGTTGGATGAATTATGGAGGAGCGGGCGCTGCAGAACATTCGTTAAACTGAATTTATTATGAAGCGTTTTGCTCTCGCTTCCTCGTCGCTCTATATTTACCTCTGCGAGTGCCACCCCCGCGCTCGCTCCAGCTTCCACCAGCGTGGGCTGAGCTGTAAGTGAGGAGCGAGAACAGGAGGAGGTCGCTATAAATCCCAGCCATGTTCAGGCACCTGAACGCCTCGCTCACGCAGAGGGGAGGAGGGGATGGAAATAGACTCCGTCAGTCAGCCAGAAAACGCCGCTGATGCTGAATGGCGTTTTGGTGCTGATGGCGTGGAGGCAGGTCGGGCATGTGCGGCTGAAGAACACAAATGTGTACGTAGGCGCTTTCACAGCATCGCTGTTACATTCACGCCCAGGACGGAAACGCTGCTGGCACCGGCCCTGCCCACCGCTGCCCGGCATTGATGAACGGTCCTCCATGTGACCTTTCCCAGCCGGGATGTCAAACACAGTAGGCACTGCGATGCCGACCAGAGCGATGGTGGAACCATCAGGACTGAACCCTGGACCCGCTCAGGTGTGTCTCCTGCAGGTGTTTGGGCCGTGAGGAGGCCAGAGCCGTGCTGCTTGATAAGAGGTGCAGACAGACTGCAGGAGCAACGTTAATCACCCACCTGAGCGACCCAGCCAGCTGTTCCAGCTGCTGTCGTTTTATGACGTCATCAGTCGTTGTTACAGTAAAGTGGGCAGACCTGTGAGGGTCGCTGATGCTTCATCGATCGTGTTATTGACATGGGAGGAGGGTGGAGCGGCGTGAACATGGCCGACTCTGAGAGCGCCCCCTAAACATCTGAGTGCAGTTTGGATTTTAAACCACACGGATGTTTTCAGGTAACTGGCTCTCTACCTGCCTCCTCCTCCTGCTGTCCTTTTTTAGTATTCTGCAGCTGCTTCTCCATTTTCTGTCTTCACATGGAGTTATATAAGCTGCTAAACTTCCTCTTCACTCATCCCTTCTTCTCCCCGGAGGGAATCTGTTACTTTTCAGCAGAAGTTTGAGGGGCTGAAACTCCTTCAGCTCTGCAGGAACACCTCTGAGAGCGGAAGCTGCAGCTCAGCCTCCGGCAGGTGTGCCGGCTTCAGGCTGCAGAGGTTTCTGCGTGCTTCGGTTTCAATGAGACGTCCAAAACATCAGCTTCAGTTTCAGCAGAGCAGTGAGAAAATAATGAGACAAAAACAGGCGACTGGAACGACTCAGCAGCAAAACTCTTTCTCTGATCCTCCAGGAAACGACACTCAGCGTCCACATTTCTGACTGCACGTGAACGCCTCGCTGACGACGCATCAGGAAGACGTTTTAAACATCCTACAAAACACCGTCGTCAGCACAGAGTCAGCGCTGTGGTCCTCCACAGATATCCATCCCCGACTTTAAACAAGACGAACCTCATAAACGCTGCGGTGAGCGGACCAAAGTGCTGAGTCAGAGCGCCGTGAATCTCTCCGACAAACCCGGCTGCACGTCTTCCTGACACAGATCTCTTCCTCTGTCTTTGTGCTGCTGCTCCTCTCTCATCTTCCTCCTTTCCACCTCTTGCATCACAGCTTCGCCTTGCTCTCCGTTTCCTTGCTCGCTTCCTTTTTATCTCACCCCGTCCATTTAAATCCTCTCTGCTCCGTCTGCATGGCAACGCCCGCTGTGTCGTTCACGCTGCTGTGGTGGAGATCATCTGTGTGACTTCCTCTAAACACTGAAACCATCTGTTTGCACCTCCGTCATCACCGCCATCTGAGCAGGACGCCATCATTTCCTGTCAGCTCTATGATGGTCATCATAAATAACCACCTGCAGCGTCTGCGGTGTGACAGCTCAGGACGCCGGGCGTGTGAGTGGACCACAGTGAGGCGCAGCTAGGCAACGAGTCTGCACGGCGACGGCTAAGCAGACCCACAAACTCAACCTGTCTGACACCAGAGCGATAGATCAGGCTGATATTTGATCAATAACACCGATTATGGACGAGTCAAAAATCACAGTTTTCTTCTCTGAGACATGAAACATTTCCTGAACCCCTGCTGTGTGCAGGTATTGGTGACCGTCTCCGCTCGGATCAGCTGATCAGTGTGTTTGTGTGCTGCCAGCGGGGAAGCTGCAGAGCGCCCTCTGATGTGCAGAGCTGTTATCGCAGCTGAAGGGTGTTTCTGAGTTTCACACGTATGTGCAGAGGCAACACGCCTGTAAGCCTCGTCACATCACTCTGTAACATGACGCCTTGTATGCTGTGCTGAATAAAGCTCAGATAAAGTGATTTCAGGTTAAATGATGAGCTGATGTCGTACACTTGAAACACATTGAGCCCGTCTGCACGTTTGCATGGATGTAAACAAATCAGCCGCAGGACGAGTTGGAGGAAGCATGGCGGAGTGCAAACACCCTGCCGGCGTTTTGCTCCCAGGCGAGCGGCTTCCTGACTCGAGCCTTTCTTGTG